CTTTAAAACAGCTGCTAGTTATGGGTACTTTTTACTGAAGTACATTTCAAAGCCCTCTTTACTTTGACTTGAGTAAAGAAGTTTAGTCAGTACTTCTACTTTTACCAGAGTATTTTTAAACACGAGTATCTGTACTTCTACTTGAGTCATCTCTGATTACTGCGTTCACAAATGCCCAAACAAAATGCACCAGAGTTTGATAAAAACTAACGTAATGCTTGCTTTTGACAGCGCTGTTAGAGGAATTAGCTTAGCTTAGCATCACATCTAAGAGCAGGGTGTAACAGCTAACTGGGCTCAAAGTACAGTCATTTTTACACTTGTTTTTTGTGCATATAAAACAACAGATGATAATTTGTGAGGTTATTGTTAAATGTATATATTGTTCTCCATCCAAACAGAGCAGTGTCACAGCTTTCCAGTAAACCCTTTTGGTTTTGGCAGCTCGCTCCTGAGCTCCAGGTGATATTTTTTGTTACCTGCTGTCATGAAGATACATCATAAAATGCCTGAGCTCTAACTTTAGGTGCTACTGGATTTTCATGTTTGCCTGTCTCTCTCTCCGCTGACATCTGAACCTCTTGAGAAATGTCTGAGTGCGACCACAGCGCCGTCTCTGTGCACTCTTACAAGCCCGAGCATCAAAGATGGTTGTAAATGTCTTATAGATGGGTGAGAATATCTGGGGGTAAAGGAATGTAACATGTCAAAAATAGATACGCAAACCGAACGACTTATTCCTGAACCAAAAAAGCCCCCCTTCCAGTTATCCTTTTCCCACACTCTTAACAGCGTTTCGGGGAAAAGGGTGTTTAATTGTGTATGTTCTGCTGACATCATGTTTGATAGGATTGTTTGGATCACTTTACAGGCTCTTGCATAACGTTTCTTTAGCAGAAAGTTGCTAATTTTGTCTTTTAGGAATTATCCACTTGAATGATAATGAAATGTTTAAATTCTGCTGAATCTGAGCCTCTGTTTCTCTCACTATATTTGTGTTAACGGTCTTTTATTGTCTGTTTCCTTCCTGTGACCGAGGTTGGGGACAAAGTCGCCTTAGTTTCAGCCAAACAACAGCCAGACTTGTATCTAGACAACAGCAGAAAACATGCCGACTCGTGTTTGTGGAGGTGCTCTTCTGCAAATACAAGACAATGCAGCGTCGGGTTATATTGGGTGATCTTTCAGCGACTGTATTACAGTACCAGCTGGCATTGGACTCTACCAAACAAGAATTATTTGATGTTGTATTAGCACCTTTGTGTATATGCACTCTAAACACAGGAGGAATTTAATTTTGAATTAGGTGGAAGATCATCGAGGGCACTCTTTGATTCGGTCGCAGGTATTTATTGATTGAATTACTGTTCTCTTTGGATAAGGGAGGAGTAATAATAACTGAGTTGGAGCTTTCTCACCCGCTGGACTCCTCACTGTCAACAAGCCTTCGCCCCGCTGTAGGTTAGCAGACTGTGTGAAACATACAGTATTTGCTATGTAACTGCATATTCCACTGATACAATGTTTAACAGCAGTGTGTGGAAGAAAGCTTGAAGTTAGAGACTGGGCTGCTGACCAATGTAAACCACTCTTGAAATGGCACTTTTTTCTTTGAGCCCCTTAGCCAACAAAAACCAAGTCATGACATAACAACTTCCCAGCTGCCCCGGGACAATTGCCTCTACAAAAAGACAACAATACACAGTATAAGACATATTTTGCAAGTAATAAGTACGCTTAAGTTGCATTACCTGGCACGGCTGGTTAAAAAAAAAAACGGTCCGAAAGTGTGTGAAATGTTTCATAGCTGTACGGTGAATATATTGAAGCTGCTTTTGTTAGCTTAGGGTTAGCATAGAGACTGGAAACAAGGGCGGGAGATAACCTAACTTTGTCCAAAGGTAACAAAGCTGCTCTCTAATTAAAGGGATAGTTTGTATGTTTTAAAGTGAGGTTTTCTGAGGTACGTCTCTATAGTTGACGTATTATCTACAGAAGCTAGCTTACTTTGGAGAAGTTCCTCATACAACCTCACTTAAAACAATGTGAAATAATTTTTTTTTTCCACATGTTCAATCTGTACCAAAGAAAAGTATAAAAACTAAATGCAGTGGTTTACGTGCCAGGATATTTCCTATCTGGACGACAAATATTCCCTAAAATGTTGAGCAAACTTGAATAAACTTACAAATAAACTCAAATACAAACTGTCTCTTCTTTCCTACTGCTAAAGCTTTTGCTCCTTCATGTCACATTCAACCTTTTCCCAGTGATGCATTCACATGCTGTCGATAGTGACTTTCCCTTGCACGCTGCTCTCTGCCAACGCAGTAACAATAGCCCTGGGTGGAGTGCACGGTGCAGCGTGCGCTTTCATTGCTGGACGAGTGGACAGAGCGAGGAGACATCCAGAATCACTCTGTCACTTGCTGAAATGTCCTGCAGTACAATAAACTCCAAATCTGCAGTCAAAAACTGTCCAATGTACACTCATTTACTTTAGCCGGCATGAAAACAGATGCTTGTTTGTTTTGCTCTTGCATTAATCGCACTAATGCACATAAAAAACCCCTGCAAACTACTGTATACTGACTCTTGGATTAATTCTGCTTTGATTGGATGCATGTAGAATCATAACTAATGCAACTCTCGCTGCTCCTCTGTCTCCCTTTCCCCTTCGCTCAGCCCTCTTTCTCTCCACTGGCACCAACACTGGGCTTCGAGAGGCCTCTGCAGAGGGGGGAAACATGGGGGAAACTTGGAACAATATATTGTAGGTACAGTAAATAAATGCTTTGTCTGAAAAATAATGCCTTTCCCAAACAGACCCGTGGCCCTTCGGAGAAGCTAGCGTCCCGAATAATGCCCTAATTACGCTGACATAATGATAATAATGCTTTTCCAATGTCACTGGGTTCACTGTGCAAACAAGTACCAGCTCTCTGAGTCTGAGGGAATATCATCTGGGGTCTGTGTGTGTGTGTGTGTGTGTGTGTGTGTGTGTGTGTGTGTGTGTGTGTGTGTGTGTGTGTGTGTGTGTGTGTGTGTGAGAGTTGAAGTACAGTATCCTTTTAAATTCTGGTTTTCCACAATCAAACTTTTGACTCAGTGTTTGGTCTTGGATTGGAAGTGTCCGTAGACATGCAGATAATAGTGTGAAAGGCTGTAAAACAGGTGTTTAGCTAATCTGATAATATGGACAATAATATGGCTATAAACCTGTGGATAGGATCTCCGCACCGTGTCCATCAGAAACTGGCTGCAGAGCCGACTCCATATTGATACCAGATGAGAGGATGAGTCAAAATACTGAGCAGATGTGAGGGTGCACAGTCATAACAGGACACAAAGAAAGTAGAATCACAACATATGTCTAAATATATTGAATAGGTTGAGTAGATATATTGGTTGTTGGGTAAAATTCAGTGGAACATATGATAAAAAGCAGGTCTTTCTCTAAGATTTTCTGCCCGATTGTAGGTAATTTCATCTTATCTTTCACTTCAAAGCTAGCTGATCGTCTTCCAGATTTTCCTTTTTAGAGTTTTTTAGGTAATCTTACGTTCATCTCTTATCTTTCATTGTTGTCGTATGGGTATAGGTTAGGTTAGGGTTAGGGTTAGGGTTTAGTCGTATCTCCTTTTCTTCAGCTGCGTTTTACAGGTTAAATTATGAAGCCAACAACCCATTTTCTTTCCTTTTGCACACAATAAACAATATGTTTTTCCTCCTAAAATACAAGAATGAGTTCGGCACATTGTCCTGGCGGTAAGCAAAGCCCTGGATCAGGTTGAGGAGGTACAAATATTAATCTGTGAATGTTCGTTTTGAGTCTTTCCTGGAGCAGAAATGTATGGATGGAGTGAATTAGGGGGGAACTATTTGCCACTCTTCCACTTCTGAGTGATAAATCCCGACCACCAGTTCCAGCACCTGAGAAGTCCATCACTTCCAAGAAGATTTTGTTGGGAAAGCACCAATGAGCCGGCAACAAGAGAGGAGGAAGATTGTTCCTGCGTCACGTTTCTTTAATTTGTTCTCCAGCTGCCAATGAAAACGATGACCTGCGGAGGCTTTTCCCTCTCTGGCTCTGCCTCTGCACACAGCTGGATCCTCGCTGAGCAGAACAAGTGTAATCTTTACAGACGGACAAAGAAACGGCAGCTCACACACTCATTGGTGTTAGAAACCTGCTCTCACCACACACACACACACACACACACACACACACACACACACACACACACACACACACACACACACACACACACACACACACACACACACACACACACACACACACACACACACACACACACACACACACACACACACACACACACACACACACACACACACACACACACACACACACACGCTTTGATAATGGCCTTAATATTCATTTAATATGCTCTATCTACTTTGGTGTACTTTAATAATCAAATTGTGTCTTTCCATATCCTGCAGCTGCAGAGACTTCATGATGAAATTGAGCAAGATTTGCCAGGAAAGAGTCAGGAAAAAAGAGGTGGAGGGGACTCAGACGTTATACTTGGAAATACTCTGATACAAATTAAAGTATAGGTCTTTCTGAAGTAAAACTACAAAAGCATTATCATTATAATGTTCCTAAAGTAGGCCTACTAATTGTGCAGAATAATTATTTATGCATACATGTGTTCATTACTTGGATGATGCAGCTGGTAAAGGAGGATATTTATTTCGTTATTCTTACTTAGTGCACAGTGTCTAGAAGCTTGTAAACTATAATACATGAGCAATAGTATGCTTACTTTATTTATCTGAATTTGCAAGGTTATCACATGCATGGAGTTCAGTCCAAAGCAAACTATGTCAAAGCTCAAGTAGAGTGCCTCAAAATGGTACAGTTTGTTATAGTAAATGTACTTGCTTTGGGAAAACCCACCATCTGCTGTTTCAGGTGACAGGAGGGGCAGAGCTCTACCTCTGAGGCACTTCCTGTCCGCTGCAGAGCATATAAACCCTGAGAGAGGACTGATCCTGAAGCACTCACAGACTGCAAAGCGTAAAACCTCATCCTCCTTCTCTCTCTCTCTGCAGCACAGCACCGGGGCTCCAGAGGGGACACAGCCGGGAAACATAGGCACAAGTCCCGCTGCAAGAGAAGGTAGGAGCGGCAATATTTCTGTCCTGTAGTTGGAGCTTAGTCGGCTTTGTTATGCATGTTATTTGCGACAAAACTTTAGGAGTGTCTTTGTGCTTTCCTTGCAGATCACTCCACGGATCGCTATATTCTGCAGCTTCATTTATCCATCATGCAGTTTCAGTTATTCGCCGTAGACTTTATACTTCTGTGCATGTCATATGGTGCCAGTGCATTGTCCAGCACCATCCCCGCAGCCTCAGGGTCTCTGCCGGGGAATAACTTCACCTCCGCGGCTCAAAGCTCCGGGACAGACTCCTCCAGCCTCTCCAGGAGCAGGAGGAAGCGCTTTATCAGCCAGAATGACATGCTCGCTATTCTTGACTACCACAACAAAGTGAGAGGGAAGGTGTTTCCCCCCGCAGCCAACATGGAGTACATGGTAAGTGAGAGCTTTGATTCATTTATATGTGTAATCAATGTGCATGTGTTTCCTCTGAATTTAGTTTAGTTTGTTTGTTTATAGTGTCGTGGACCGTCCCCATCGATCAACTGTCACAAAAAACCGTAAATGAGGCAGCTTCAGCAAACATTGCTAATGGACACCCTTAAAATCACAATACATGACATAGTAGACCTCCTGTTTTTATTATGCATGTTCTGCTAGTGGGAAAATGTTTAGTCAAAGGAAGATTTAATAGCTGCAGTTTGGAAAGGAAGTAAAGTGACATGTCTTGTAGTTTCTTGGCGTTGAGCTGTGGAGCAGATTGCTCTGCAGGAGAGACCACCAGAGTAGTCACTTCCAGGGGAAGAGGGGTCATGTATGGTGCCAGCAGCCTGCTCACAAGAGTAAGAAAAAAAAAGCCCAATCAGACTTTACATTTCAATCTAAAGCTTACATTTTAAGCTACACAAAAAAGTGGTGGTGTAAAGTAGTATGATAAAGAGCATCTGCAAGAAGATGATTGTGTCTTGTCTGCAGAGAGCTGTGTTTTCACTATTATGGTGTAAAGTCGCTCATTTTACTTTGAAAGGATGTTCCAGCTAACTTTAAAATAAAACAACTCAGCCATTTCCATTTTAAGACTTTAGGCTGCCTCTCCATTCTCTGTAGCTGCAACAAATGCAACAAAGTTAGTAAGGTGGTTAAAAAATTACAATTGCTAAGGTGATAAAGATCATAATTGTAAATCCAGATAACCTTGCCAAAACTACTGCAGAATGAAGTCCTTTCTCACTGCTACAGTCACATTACCTACGTGAGTGTATGTGTTGATAAGTATCCATTTACCTGTGTGTGTGTGTGTGTGTGTGTGTGTGTGTGTGTGTGTTTGTGTTCAGTGGAGGACTCACAGTTTATGTAACAGATTTGATGGATGACTTTTGCGTCCTGCCATGGCAACACCTTCACAGAGCTGTGGTCTCACATGTCACTGAGATGATATCTGATGGTGTGTGTGATGCTGTGTGTGATGCTGTGTGTGATGGTGTATTTTGCAACTTACAAATGATTTATCACTTGTATATAAGAATGTTAAACACCTGACATTCTGAAATCTGTTTGCAACTCATATATATCAATATTCCAATTACTGTATATAGACTTTTCTGCACTATTTCTATTGTATTCTATTTTATTTACATGTACTATTTTATTTAATCTGTTTTATTGTGTTGCACTGTTGGAGGAGCCTGTGACCTAATATTTTCATTGTCATATCTACACTGTAGCTATGTACGAATGACAATAAAAGCCTTGAACCTTGAATCTTTAATCTTGAATCTTCAGGTGTGGGACGACACCCTGGCGAAGACCTCTGAGGACTGGGCCCACGCCTGCCTGTGGGAGCACGGCCCGTCCAACCTCCTCCGGTTCCTGGGTCAGAACCTCTCAGTGAGGACAGGACGGTGAGTGACCTCTGACCCCTCCCTCCCCCTCTCACACATCTGCTGGGACTCTCTCTCTCTCTGTCATGGTCGCTGCCTCCCCTCCTAAAGGTTCCTGCTCTGTGACCTGGTGACGGCCTGAGGAATGCTCCGGTGACCCTTCGTATAAACACACGTTGTGTTTTCAGCCATGACCCCTGAGGACAAAGAAGCATCCCTTTAGTGGGTCTTGACTTTCCATTTGGAAACACAGGGCACCTTCACGTGTTGCTGCACTTTCACATTTTATTGAGGCACAACATGAGACTCCAGGGAGTTCAGCTCACTCTGACTGGCAGAGACAGACCTGTATGAAGGAAGTTTCCTCTAAAAACGACTAACACTAATGTAGAAACAATACTTCGAAAAGGTTAACAAGGTAACGCTTTTGTTAGTGCAGAGCATGTTTGGATATCTACAAGAAAAACTGGCCTACTGTTAACATTTATTTGCACTTATTTGCACTAAGTACTTTGCCGTACTTAGTGCCGGCACTTAGTTCCCCCATGGAACTAAGTACAGATCGCGTTCACACCGGAATAAGTTCCCTGAGGGAAGATTACGCAAATGAGCCGCTGACGTCACTTCGTCTTCTTCTGCTTTGGGTTTACTGGCAGGCCGCAAACAACTTCACGGCGTATACTGCCACCCGGAGTCCCCGGCCGGAAGTCCCCGGAGTTGTGGACTGGCTTCAGTCGAAGCTGCTGGGACTCCCAGCAGCTTCGACTGAAGCCTTCCGAGTAAATCGCCAGAAACGCCGACACCTCCTCATCTCCACCGCTCCCATGTTTTTTATTGTGTTGCCATAAGTTATTCTCTCTCCGTTGGTGCGCGGGGCTAATGCTAATGCTAATAATGCTAATGCCAGCAAATACAATGGCGGCTTCACAAAACTTTTCAGAGTTTTACGGGGCGTGTTTTGCAATTCGCCCAGCCAATCAGAAATTGGTACTTTTTTCTCCCCAGGATAGTCCCACCTCTCTAGCAGGCACTAAAAATGGGGGTAAAAGTTCACGGCACTAAGTACTCTTTTTGGTGTGAACGCAAAATAAGGGGTACTAACAGAACTAAGCGGGAAAAGTACGGGGAAAAGTACTCCGGTGTGAACGCGCCTATTGCCATTGTTGAAAGAACAATGGTGATACATTATAGAAACTGGATGGAGCATTCACAAACAAGAAAATTGAGCTAAAATGATTAGTTGATTTATGGATTAGATTTATGAGAAATGTAATTGGCAACTTTTGATAATAACTACTCTAATATTCTCTGATTCTAGCCTCTCTAACGATAGGATTTACTGTTTTTTGTTGTCAGAAATCATTGCAATGCAAATAGTTTTGGGTATTTGGACGTTCGGCCAGAACAACACATTTGATGTTTATCTCACTGAAGTTGTGATGGCCCTCACTTGGACAGTAATTTATGACATTTCATGGTGATTATCGATTAATTCAAAACATTATCGGCACATCAATTGATAAAATAATAGTTTTTGTGAAGCACGAATCACAGATCCAACTCGGGGACACAGATCAACATTTAAATCTCAGCCTGTATTATTTCATGTATCATCAGATTTCTTGTACTTTATGCAGCATTTCTTGTGTTCACAGCTATCGATCCATCCTCCAGCTGGTGAAGCCGTGGTACGACGAGGTCAAAGATTACTCCTTCCCGTACCCCCGCGACTGCAATCCCCGCTGCCCCCTCAGATGTTATGGACCCATGTGTACTCACTACACACAGGTACACACAACAAGCACAGCCACGGGACGATATTAAACAAATCATATCACCATTATCATGAGAAAAAATCGTGCAATATCCCAATGAATGGCACTCAAACATACTTGAACCCAAACTGAATAGACTGAATAGCTAACACGTACGAGGAATTTTACTTGATGTCATGGTGCATACATAAAATTAAAGCAAATTAAAAACACAGATAATATTAAAAATAATAAAAATATATAGTTAAATATAGCAGTATTTACATAGGCATTTATGTGAGGACATTCCTGTACCCATCCTTCATATTTACTATGATTTGGTATAACAAATACTTTAATTTGTATACAACAAGCACAACCACCGGACGATATTAAACATTATCATGATAATAAATCCTGCAATATCCCAATAAATGGCACTGAAACATACTTGAACCCAAACTAAATAGACCTTTACCCATCCTTCATATTTACTATGATTAGGTCTAACAATGACTTTAATTTGTTGTATATTTTTCACAGATGGTGTGGGCAACGTCCAACAAAGTGGGCTGTGCCGTCCACACGTGCCACAACATGAACGTCTGGGGCTCGGTGTGGAAACGGGCGACATATTTAGTTTGCAACTATTCACCAAAGTAAGTACATCTCATGCACGCTGTAAGGTGATTCTAATGAACCCGGTGACGGCAGTTTTAATCCCGACACAGAAGCCTCTGTTCTGTGCCGAGCGGGGAAATGCCACCCATGTCTCCGGCAGATTCAGATAACCTCGATACAAGCCTGTGAACCGGCACCGCATTACCACAGGAGAAAGTCTCGGAAAATTCCAGGAATCAAAGCCCGATTGGACTTGTGACTGACATGTGACCCGGTGCTCTAATCCCACTGGTCTGAAGCTCATGTCAGAGTGTATTCAGGACATTGAGGAACTATTTTAGCTGAATCTCCTGTCTGAGAGTCTGCAGAGGTCACTGTGTGAGAGGAAACCTCAGCTGTCAAGTTAGCTGGTTACTAGTTACTTATTTTCTCACAATTAGACCTGCAACAGTTAGTTGAGCAACGAAAAATGACCGCCACCTATTTAAACTATCCATAAAAGTAGGTTTTCAATTGGAAATGTGAACAAAATGCTGTTTTAAGCCTCTAAAGTCTGGAGATATCTTGGGGTTTTGAAATGGAATAACAAGACATTTAAAGACATCAGCTAAGACTCTGAGAAAAGGAGAGGGATTCTCCTTTCAGATAATTTATAGACAAAACAATTAACCTAGAATATAATCAGCAAATAAACCACTAAACGGAAAAACATTTTAGTTAAATTCCTTCTTAAAGTGACTTACTGCTCTTGACAAATAATCTCTTTATGACATTATTTAAAATCTCATTTTGAGGGTTATATGTTTTCGAGTTCCTGATCATATCACACGATCTTTATCAGCAAATACAGCTTGCCCTGTAATTGGATTTAAATACAAATTCAGCCACTAAAAGGACATTTTTGTTCCTTTTAAAAGATGAACGGTTTCCCTGACTTAATATCTAGAATCTTGACCACTCAAATTCATGCTTTCATCACCTCCAAGTCTTGCATTTTAAGCAATATTACACAGGTACACTGACTCAATTGACCCTCATTGTCTCATTTAAATCTCATTTTGAGGGACATTTGTTTCTCGAGTTTTTCATGGTATCACACGATCTTCATCAGCAAATACAGCTTTGCCTGTCACGGGATTTAAATAGAAATTCAGCCACTAAAAGCACATTTTTGTTCCTAGATATTGATATTTTCCTAAAAGTTGATAAACAGTTTCCCTGACTTATTATAGAGAATATTGACCATTCAAATTCATGCTTTCATCATCCCTAACTCCTGCATTTTACACCATTTTAGACAGGATGTTGATCACTGCAATAGAGCGGTGCAGGGATGACGTATTTTTGTAGGCCGACCCTGAAGTAAGCTGCTGGTTCCCTCGACAAAAAAGCAATGGAATTTCTCCATAGGATTTTGGAATATTGTAAAAAATAAGGTCTGTGGAAAGCAAACCCGTTTGATAAATGCACGTTTTGTTCAGCCGGATAATCTCCACATGTCTACCCTACTTTTATAATTTTCTAATCATAAATCGAATGTCCAGAAGCAAAATGCTAACGTTATGCTATAAAGGAACTACAGCCGAGTACAGCAGCACGACTTCAACGTCACGCCAACTTAAGATCCATATTCAAACATACAGATTGTAAATGGTACGAGTTGAAGCGTTTGTTTGAACAGTTAGCAGGAGGCAGGTACTTGCTCTCAAGCAGAACAGGGCAAACAAACTTCGAGGAGTGTTTACGTGTTCGGTGTAATGACGTACAACGACCTCCACGACTTCTGTAGTCCTATTCAGCCACTTGGTAACAACCATCGTTTCTCAGACACGTCAACTCTTCAGAAATCATCAGCGGGGTCACTGCTGATGGATTTAATGTCGTAGAACAAAACGTGATCCGTCTCTTAATCACAGACCTTATTTCAGCTATTTTCCAAAAACATTTTTCAAAAAACCCGTTGGCTCTGAGACGAGGGAACCGGAAGTGGTAAAATGCTGACTCACTTCCGGGTTGTAGGACTCGTTCCTGGACCACTCTATTGACCCTCCTTGTCTGTGTCTTCCAGGGGGAATTGGATCGGAGAGGCTCCCTACAAAGTGGGCGTCCCGTGCTCCGCCTGCCCCCCCAGCTACGGGGGCTCCTGCAGCAACAACATGTGTTTCCCCGCTCTCAAGACAAACTACCTGCACTGGTTTAAATAAACAGGACATGAGCGGACCCCCCCTCCCCCCCCCCTCCTACAGAGACTCTATCTTAGTCCCGTAAGGATTTGCACAGTGGAACACACTATTTTGTATATATGGGCTTATTTAAAAAAAAAAAAGAGACACAGACATACACCTGAAGGCAGCAGACGATTTTGATGACTTATGTAAATAAACTGTAAATTCATTTGTGTTTTAATAGAGGAATTATAATTTATGTGTAGAAGCAGGACGTATTATGGTCAATGTTTATACAAGGAAAACAAAGCTGGGGCGGGGGGTAATATTCAGAGATAAAAGAAAAGTACATTTACACGAAAACATCTTCAAATTAATTCGAGTTGTTTAGTGACTTTCCCCAAAAAATTACAAAATGTTTTCTTGTACATTTCTGATCTTACTTCTTAGAGAATTTATTTAATTATGTCCTAAATAATAACTAAAGAGAATTTATTTAATTATGTCCTAAACCATTTACGATGGAAATTTGTACTTCACGGATATTTTTGTTCTAAATTCCTGACTTTAATCTCGGAGAATTTCAGCTTTTTTAATATTTAAAAACCTACATATTGAATTGTATTTGCTTAAATTTCTAACGCAACTCCAATCTCAGATTATTTTATATTCTTCTCAACATTACCCCCCCCCCCCCTCCGGCTCTGTAATTTGTTTCATTCTCAAACCTTTAAAGCCTGTATTTGGTGCATATTTCACTACGTTTCTTCACCATTGGCAGAGTGGTAATCACAGCATGGGATAGCTTCTCTCTCTGGATCTCACCTCCATGGTGTGTGCTCTGCCTGCACAGGAATGCTGTGATAGAAACATGAAAGCTTTTCACTCAGAGGGTAAAACTCCTGGAGCTGCAACTAACTTCAACCTCAAGTCTAACGCAACATTTGTGTCCTGCAACAAATTGCAATTTGTTGACAAAAGTGCACTTACTGTAAGCTGATGTATGTTCCTTTTGTCATATATTTTCAGTCAGATTTGAAAGCCTCTGTTCTCAAAACGTTGGTGCATTTGCAGTTTAAATCTGCACTGACTCACATTGTTTTATTCCTATTTCTTATAATATCAATGCTAAAAAGAGCACATACATTGAATCTGACCCACATATCAGTTTTATAATCATTTGTACGCAGTGTATTGATTGGTATGTTATATACCGATGAATTGATATATTGGATTGTTCATATTTTGTTATGATCACTGATGTAGTTCGGTTTTTGGAGTTAGGCACTCGAGTGCACCTTAATTGTTTATCATTGTTCTTTTTGTACATGTAGATAATCATTATACCTTGACTATCCTAAAACAAGTATTCTGTAAGTTATTCATTTTGATATGGGAAAAATATTTAATTGATATGTTTTTTTATGGTTTTGTAAAAGGATTGTAAATATATGTCTGAACGATTAAAGAAAAGTACTGAATATGTTCAAAAAGCTCTTTATTTTGCTGCAGCACCCCTCTTCCCCCTCTGTCTAAAACCAGAGCGCAGTCTGCTCTGATTGGTTAGCTGGCCGGCTGGTTAACAGCTTTAAGATGTCCCGCCCCTTAGCCTATCACAATGTGTTGGAGCGCAAGTGTTCTACACAAGCCCCCAGGAAGTACGCCGGACTCTGATGAAAATATTCGTTGTGTCCAAACGGCGGTACTACAACTTCCGTATCAGTCCGTGACATCACCCGGCCCAGAAAGACTTTTCCCCATTGACTAACATTGGGAAAGAGACGTCTGTAAATTAGCGGATACTTTTTTTAAACTAAATAAACTACCCAGTATGAACTATGTTATAGCCCTTATTAGAATCATTAGGTCCTTAAAGTTATAAAATGCACTAAAAGCCGAATCTAGATTTATTTTCTCTCCATTCATTCTACTGAGCCGAGAGTGGGAGCTCCGGGGGCGGGGCTTAAGGGACGCATGCTCTGTGAGCGCACATACGGGTTCTTCTGCTCTGACAGCTAGGCATGATGGGTAATCTGTGGGTGTTTCTCAATGTCGAGTAAAGCTGCTCCAGAGCCACCATTTCAAGCATACTACGTCATCGAGTGCCACTGAAGTACTGTTCCAATCTCCAGCATACTTGGAATTCTACCGAGCCCGGCGTACTTCGTAGCGAGAAACATTCGAGGCTGCACATGTGTAGACTCCGCGATCTTAAAATCCCCACAATGCTTTGCGCACGGACCAATTTCCCCAAATCTGTGGCGGAAAATGTAAGGCGGGGCCTCTCATATGACGCACACTTGCTCGCCTGTTCCACTCTTCGTTTTCCGAATGCCAGGAAGTATTCTTGCCTCGCTTCTGAAGCAAGTGACTCAGAAGACATGTGCTACCAAGCAAGCGTACTCGAGATTGAGAAACACCCTGTGACGTTTCGCTCTCTCAAAAGTTGGGCCATCAATGAGCAGCTCTCATAGGAAAGAACGAGACCCCGCCTCCCACGCTGTATCCAGTTCTTATTATACAGCCATGCTTCTACACTGTAAAAACTGTTGCTTTTGTAAAACTTGAGGTTTCCAAGCAATTTTAAGAGTTTAGTAAACTTTTGCATTTTTTGAGTTGGTGAAACTTACTTTTGTAGTTTTACTCAATAACGTGTTACTTTGCTAAAACTTAAAACGAGGCAACAGTTTCCAAGCAATTTTAGGAGTTGGTTTAACTCACTAATGTGACTTTTTCTGCATTTAAAAAAAAGGGCTGTTTTGCAAGATAATGAACCACATAGTCATGATATTGATATAGTTCATGTCAAACTACCTCACCTCATGCTCAGAGATTTATACAAAGTGTATCTCCAGCTAGGGTTTCCTTCCATGATTCTGCCTCAAAGTTTGATGCATCAACAGGTGATCAAGCAAAGAAATGAACAACATCTCAAACATCTGCTTTCCGTGCAAACTGGGCTGCAGAAATCATCTTTCCAGGTCTGCTCCACTTCACTTTGACATGTTGAAACACAACGCCTCACATTTTCATGCTAAACTTTATAAAAGCGTGAGGTTGTCAAAACCACATCCTGCACTTTATTAAGAAGCTTCATCAGCCCCGACACATTGCAGCGCTCCCTGGAATCAACCGGAGGAGAGATTTCGAGGAACACATTATTAGTATGCATGGGAAAAATCCTTCTGCCTGAGCTAATGCCTGACCCGCAGCCAAACAGATGATTGGTGGAGATTTGAGAGGAACGTCAGCGAGAGTTCGACACCCTGATGTTTATCAGCAGAGCAAAAGTTCAGGATCTGGATCCAAGTTGCCTCCGAGTGTTCAGGGATACAAACAAAGACACTTATTCAATTACACCTGCAGATGTCACTTAACCCATCAAGAACAATGTTATCACTTTCTATTAATGTACGACCCACACTTTACCTCAATTTCAACCAAACACACTCTACTGTTACGCCGTTGATTAACACAACTTCCACCGATCATACACACTTTATTTAATCAGCATTCTCTGCACACACTGTCTTTAACATTTGCACATCAACTGCTTTAATCTCTCACTCTTCAAATTATATTTAGTCTGCTTTTACAACTTCAAATCCTTTCAGGTTTCATACTCAATCAATTAAGTACACTGCAACTAACATCTCAGCTCCTTTCAGTGTCCGGACTTCAACTCAATTTTTTAACACTTTCAATGAAACCTCAAATGTACCCAGTGCACACTCATGATTGAACTTTGAATACCTCTTCCATTTTAATTACCATTGGTGCTTCTGAAAGTTGACATAATAGAATAAAACCTGAATACAGCACATATTTCTCAATCTCTATTTAGCTTGGTGTGATGCTAAGCTATTGTTGTTGGGACACTTTTGAAATAAACCTTTAAACATATCTGTGGAGCAGGGTGGATCCAAACGCAGTAGACAAGATGTTTTAACATAAAAATATCCTACCTTCAATCCATGCTCGGTCCAGACAAGGTAACACTTTCCAAAAAGCGATACACAAGAATCCAACCAACACAAAACAAAAAGCAGGATTCAAACTCAAGCTGACACCAATGAGGAGACACAGGTGAAACTGATGAGGCCAATCAAAAAAGGAGGGAAGACACAAAGACAGGAAGTAAAAAGAGACATGACACAGGGGGGAAATATCTCTTATGGTTATTAATTCTAGTGACTTTTATGCACTTTAAAGTGGACCTATCATGCTATATTTGAATAATATAGTGTAGGACCATACCTATATAAGGCATATTTATACTTTTTTCTTTTCAAAATACCAAACAGATCATGCATTTTAGCCATGCCTCATTTAGCTCAATTTGCACTTGTTTTAGCTCTGCTCTGCAAGGGCTGATTCTGTGAGAACAGCACCATCTACAGGCCTGGCATATGTACTACAGCGTCTCCAGCGCTTTCGAACGGCAATGGCCGTGGCTGTCTCCTCCTGATTGGTGGAGTTGGCCCAATAGCCGTAGCGCCACCGTCCTGACGTCAGGACAGTGTTCAAATCTGGATCAGTTTTTATCAGATCCGTTGCAGCCCCTTTTTTAGAGATTTGGGTATGGAGGAAAATAGAGAGGGTTGTGTTTTCTGACACTTGGTGAGTTCCCTGGAACACCGGGGACACATATTCATGTATAAAAGACGTACAAAAGTGCATTTTGCATGATAGGTCCCCTTTAACATTTTGTTGTTTATTGATAGTTTTACTTACTAAATACTAATTGTTGTTGTCTTGTCTCTTGGCTTTTGCTCTTTAAAGCACTTTGGCTGCAAGATTGTAGAATAAAATGGAGTTTTGTTTCCTAAATCCTGACTAAACTAAGAGCAGATCAAAGATATGGAGGAGAGGAGAAACAGAGATGTTCACTCTCATGTTCCTGCAGCAATAAATGAGATTGAACTGACTCGTACTTTCGTCCCGTGCCAACACAGACTGAGGATGACGCACTTGTGAGATCATGAAGGTGTTCCTCTTCTCCTAATAACTCGTGAACCACTGACCTGTCAGATACTCTGTTATTGCTGAGGCAGTTTCAGCCTCTCTGAAGTGTGAAGGTGGGGAAGCGTTTATTTGGAGAGAAGATGGAGAGACCACATTATTAACGGGGAGAGGGAGTCTCTTTCCAAAGTGAGCACGCAGCCGTCCAACTGCAATACTGGGGAGGGGGGTTTGAGGAAAGAGTTAGTGCAAAACTGAGGAAGAGGATCAATCTGCTTTGAAGGGTTGGACCAGAGGTTTGCTGATGTTTCATGTGAAGGAAATCTCTCCTCTCCTCTCCTCTCCTCTCCTCTCCTCTCCTCTCCTCTCCTCTCCTCTCCTCTCCTCTCCTCTCCTCTCCTCTCCTCTCCTCTCCTCTCCTCTCCTGTGGTTGTACTCTTGGCTCCTTGATGCCTTCAGGGGGACATTGGGAGACATTTCTCTCTTAATTCATTTCTATTTTTCTGTCTTTTGTTTATTTTTGCTCAACCCTCAGAAACTCGGCCTCTCTCAGGCCAGCGCAGCCCGAGGACATCGGAGGGAGCTGGACTTAATAAAAAAATAATAAATCTGTGCTATTACTGAACATGCCACACGCAACGACAACAAACCTTGAAAAAACACAACTCACGGTCCTCTTTCTGGCTCAGAGCGTCTCACCACGTCACACACTCATGAAACATGTCATCAGTCTGTGAACTTTGAGGATTCACAGCAGATCTTGACTTCAATCTTAATCTCCTCTCAACTTAAAGGGGACCTATCATGCAAAATGCACTTTTGTACGTCTTTTATACATGAATATGTGTCCCCGGTGTTCCAGGGAACTCACCAAGTGTCAGAAAACACAACCCTCTCTCTTTTCCTCCATACCCAAATCTCTAAAAACGGGGCTGCAACGGAGCTGATACAGATTTGAATTTTTCTGACGTCAGAAAAGGGGTGCTCCGCCTATATGGGCAACTCTCCACCTATCAGGGGAATGGGAGGTTGGGCCACGGCCACGGCCATTGCCGCTCGAAAGCGCTGGAGACGCTGTAGTACATATGCCAGGCCTGTAAGTGGCGCTGTAGTCTGCCACAAAAGCAGCGAAGAAAACTTCTCACAGAATCAGCCCTTGCAAAAACAGGGCTGGAAAAGAGCAAATAGAGCGAAATGAGGCATGGCTAAAATGCATGATCTGTTTGGTATTTTGAAAAAAAAACTTATAAAACATATAAACAGACATGTTTTATATAGGTATGGCCCTACAATATTTTTTTCAGATATAGCATGATAGGTCCACTTTAAGGTCGTTGTTCCAGAGCTTTTGACCATATCCCACAGTAACAAAATGTCAGAAATGTTTAAGAAAGGATATTTTGTGTTGTTTCCAAGACCAAAAGACTGTTAAAATCAACAATATAATGCCTTTATAGCTATTTAATAAATGGATAAGAGAGAAAAACACTAAATACTGCAGTGTTTGTTAACATTGTGACTCTAGAAAATGTGGGTAGCAAGGGAAGCCAAATAGGAGATCATTGGATAGACACTCAGTATTAAAGCAGTGAGTGTAGGTGGAAACAGTCAGTCTTGAACAATTTGAGATGTTTTTCATTTTGCAAAAGTGTTTAAAAGATTGGGAAATGATTCCTAATATTATGTTGACATATTGCTAGGTGTTATAATAGAAGACATCTGAATTCTGAACGTGTAACCTGCATTATAATCCTCTTTATTATGACCACATGGACACATTTTTATATTGAAAATGTGTAGATGTCTTCCCTTTGTTTGAGCCTCCTCCATGCTCTCAAGTCAGGAGGAGCGTGTTGACAGACGTGTTTTTCAGAGACTGATGTCAGCCACTTGAAGCATGTTTTGGGATCTCTTCAAATGTTGTCATGTACATGTTAAAACTCTTTAGTGACCATAAATCTCTCGGGGCAGCAGAGCTAACTGCAGGGCTCGTTTTTTTACCCGCCTCGGGTGACCCTACTTCAAACAAGGAGTACAAAATACAGTTTTTTCAGGTACACAAATAATTTGCGGTGTCTCGGGTGTCTATTTTGGTCCGAGGCGGTGTTTATCTAACAGAGTGCCGCCTTCACATGTGGGGAAACACTTCATTTCTCCCAGGTTTTAACATGTAGCGACGTGCTGATGCTTGGTCCATCGGCCGCAATGAAATAAGACACCGTTTCAGTTTATGTTATGGTCACTTTTCTCGTCTACTGACTTTTCCTTGGCAAAGTGAGCTCCTCACATGGTCCAGTAAAGTCTAAATAAAGCATATCTGGCATACCTCAGTGTTCAGTTTTATGACGAAGGACGGGAGCTGGTTGTGTAGTAAAACTGTATAGTCTGTATTCACCTCAGATTGGACATTAATGACACACTGTAACCTGGCACACACACTGCTGGAATACATCTGAGGCACGTTTGACCTTTCGGCTGCAGAATGAAGGCAAAGGTGGCTTGTATTTTTAGTTTTAGTTTCGGCAGCCACGTTAGAGGGACTTCAGACGAGGGACATCCTGCAGCTGAAAGCCAAAATCAATGTCCTCTCAGAGACACAGGACAGAGAGAGAGTGTATAATCAGATGGGAAACAACTCACAGAGGCTCTGATGCCTTTATTATACTTTGACATTTTGTGCTAATATCATTATAGGATACAATATAGTGGTCAATCAATACGATAATACTGCTGAATTGACACACAGAATGACTCCGTATTTATTTCCTCAACTCCAGCAAAGTTCATTTTAATATTTATGGCTTCAGTGTTTTGACATCCTACTGTATGTGGCAAACCGCCCCACATTTTAAGAAGGGCCTGCACGATTATTGCATTCAGAAGACAGTCTGGCATTGTTGTGAAATGTCTTGGTTTGCACCACAAGCAGAGCTCCATTAACCACTCAGAAACACAGTGAAACACAATGAAGAGACTTTGTGTTTCTTAATGAGGAGCTCCGTAAATCTTGACATAAAAAAAAGGCAAGTTGGGAACCCACAATTCCCCCGCTCCCAGCGCCTCTGCTTTATCACAGTTTAGTCTTTGTGTGCTCGAACGAATCATTCTTGCAAAGAGAAGTCAAGAGTTGCCTCTGTGGTACAGAAGAGGGGAATCTGGAACATCTTATCTTGGCATCATGAACTACTGAATGTCGTTTTCTTTTCCAATCCGACCCCCTCAGAGATGCACTCCTGACATGCAGATAGTATGTTGAAGGACACTGACATCTGCTGGTCATGTGAACAGATCGATGCTGAATATATTAAAACTATACAGGAGGAAAAACACATTTAAAATGACGGTTGAATGCTTACTTATATTTACTGTAGCAATGTTAACATTCTGATATTATACACATCACAAATTGAAGAAATTAGGAATATTGTCTGCAGATTGTTTACTAATGTAACAGTGCATCTAAACGCATGCTTATTAAGACTGCTGCGTGTTAGTATTTACATATTGCACATAAAGCAGATGGAGGAACATATGGACGACGTCATGGAGGTTTTCTTCAAGTTGTCAGAGACGACATGTTGGAAGAAGCAATACCAGAATAAATATACAAGGCTTGTAGTTAAATCGTGTGGTACAAGCGTAGGTACAAGACAAATAAATACACATTTTACATGTCAAGATCAAGTTAATATCAACTTTAAAGTAACAGCTGGTTTAAGATTGAAAGATTTTCCTTACAGTAAATCCTTGATTGAGCAGTTTAGTATTAAAACATGCAAACGATAGAAGGAAACAGCAAGGACACAAAACATCTGAACTCAAGCGAGATAAGTCAAATTAAAAGGATGCATCAGACACGTATTTCCTTTTGCAACATACAATAAATTCCCCTTTTACAACCCACAGTACATTGTATTCATTGCTCACAGTTGCATCGACATCTCTTCTCCACAAGAGGGTGGAGGCAGACAGAGTATCAGATATCTGAGGAAGCTTTCTGCTGATAACGTAGACAAACAAAGCTGTAGAGAATGTGCCAAATGACCTCGACGCTCTTTACTCCCATCCTCGTCTCCAAAACTCTGACCTGCATCCAGCTCGACCAGAACCATCAGAGGAAAACCTGCCAATAGCACGGGCCAATA